CTTCTAAAATATAATCGAAGATGATATTTCTACTACTTCATCTTCCACACACATCTTGAGAGTTATATTTTTCCGATTGGAAATAGGAAAAACAAAAATGTCATCATCATTCAATTCAGTGCCATATTTTCAAGGCGAGGCAGCAAAATAAATTTTGAACTGTCTTTTCTCACATTAACTCCCTCAACTTCCAAGAATAGATTTGAATTACTGAAGTGTTACGTCCAGCGATGCGCAATAATACATACATCTAAATTTAATTATTATTAACATGTTTGGCCTAATTAATAAACAGGTATCAATATTCGAATCTACCGACAGAAGACAGTGAGAATCACATCATTATTGGAACAAATGTTACAAACAGTTGGATTTTATATCTCGCTTAATTACTTCGAGGTGAACTCTCTATACTGGATGTTTGCTTCAATGTTTGAAGGAAACTGAATAAACAGATCTTTATTAAATATGCTTCACCTGTTCTATTTATACAACTGAAAATGAGGAGAATATATTAAACTATACTGATTTCGAAGCTTATCAGACAAAACAAATATAGAAACCGTAATTGCGTGGCAGAGTAACTGAGCCGGGTCTTTATCCCGTTTTCATGAGATCTCATATAAACAAAAAAATATGATTAAAAAGGTAGCAGATTTGAAAGGAGAGTTATTTCTGACCATACGTCACTGTATGGATAGTATTATTGACTAATTAAAACTGAAGACGAAAAAGTGAATATGCCATGAAATATACTTTTATGCAAGATTATTCTTTTTAAGCTATAGCTGACAATGCACAGAAGATGCCCAAATATCCGGGAAAGGATTAAAAAGAGGATGCAAAATGTGTTATCAAGATCTGAACTCGCATTTGACTAGTGAAAGAAGAATTCCAAAAAATAAACAGGGTACTGAGAAATGTGGTATGTATTCTTTTATATGGCAATAAATGTTAAATAAATTCCACTGCTATACAATGCAATCTAAAATCTTTCTATGGATTCCAACAGTTATGAAGTCGTACAGTAAACTACTCCTCTGAATAACTAGGACTATACAATTATATGTCCTCTACCTAGGCAGTCCAACTATGTACAGCTTCTCTAGTCAAGAGACATATTTTGTAGAAATTCTAATCTTACCGTAATCTTTTTTAGAAGCTTTTGATTGAGACACCGAAACTTCTTTTTAAAGTAATATTTAATAAATATGAAATCTGATTAAATTTGACAATTTAATTCATCTCTGTTTATTCTTCCTAAGCAAACGGTCATATTTCAATGTGTATTTAGTTGCACTATCGCATAACACGTCGGAACTGCGTAATTTGTAACAATTGCAAACGATTTCTTAGCCCTAAAAACCATTTTTTGCAAAATCATCAAATCGAAGATTAAAGCGCTCTTATTTGTCAAAATGCACATGCTTTGATTCACGAAACCTTTTCAAACCTTATAGGCAATATTTTCACCAGTGAATGTTAGAATAACAGAAGAGTCTTTGAAATAGAAACCGCGTCAAAGAGATTCAAGTATCTAATTGGAATGGGTTTCGCAAAGATCTTAAATTCTAGATGCCATGCACGTGATTTCATAGAACATATTCTCATTACTACCAGAAAAAAACAAGAGGTTTAGTGTATTCAGTACAAATTATATAGTTTAGTATATTAAGTACCAATTATAATTAAATCATGGCTTCATTACTGGTCCAACAAATTTTATTTCACCATATTTGTTCTTGGCGATTTTGAAGGTAGATTTAATAAATGTAATAAAAAACTTCGAAAATCCTGATGTTTAATATTAAATTAATTATTTGCTCGATCCTTTTATTCAGAATTAATATCGTTGTCCATTTTGTTAATTTCTTTACATATATGAAAACTAAAAGTACATAGCCTAATAAACTTATTTTACATTGAAATATTCACTGCTTGTAGGTGACGTAATGCCACGACATATTTCATGAGATATATACTGTTTGGGATTGAGGTATATATTTTATCATATGTTTAGAACATCATTCATTTCTAGATGTGCAATTCGCCGTAGTAGAAGTTTCAATGATCTGATGGATGTCATTGTCGTCTGTGTCCTTCTTTGCATCACTTCAGCAGGGTATCAGTTATTTGACGCTGATAGTTTCCTCTGTTCTTTCTGATTGGAATAGATTAAAATAAAAAGTTGTCAAGTAGGAAAACGAAATCAAGGTCTTGTTTGAATTCCATTTGACATTCTGCGAATTCATTTTGAGGTCAACGTGATGAGAATGTCAGAGAATCAATGTTCCTTGACACTACCCCATCAACAGAATGAAATGTTGTTTAGTTAACCACTCTCAGAAACCAGTTTGCTTATAGTGGAAACTCATTGGAATATATATATATATATATATATATATATATATATATATATATATATATATGTATAGAGAGAGAGAGAAAGATTATTCGGACTGTTGTCCTCATCTTTGTTACCATATTCACGACGTTTCGGCCGTTTGACGTTCCGGCCATCTTCAGCTGATTGGAATTTATAACTGAGCCCCTTTTGTTTTGTCCACATGAGTTACTTGTTCTAGTTCCATGCTTCTTCCAGATATCTCAGTTATCTCCCTTTAATTCAAGTTTTTGTTCCGTAATCCAGTAGCCAGGTATTGAACGCATAACTCTTTGCGTCAAGTCACTGGATCCAACCAACGCTTTTATCTACTGAGCCATGTGTTTTTCCTCTAGCACTCTGTATTACTGGTTCCCATATTCTATTCATTTCTATGCTTACCAGTCTTAGGACATTTTTGTGGCCTAGAATGTGCTGATTTTTTAAAGTTTTTGTATTTTACAGTGGTTTTCTCTGTCTATTATTTCAATCATATCCCACAGTGGGCGGTGATATCACTTTTTCCTCCAAATATTGTCAACTATGTGTGATCTTTCTATTTTCCCTCGTGCTACGGCTTTACGATGTTCTTGCAGTCTTATCTTAAGATGACGACTATTTCTCCATTATATTTCTTACCACAGCTGCGCGGGATGGAGTGCACGCTGTCTTTAGTCATGTTCTCCTCTATGAGTGGTTCGTATTCGAAAGAAGTATATTCGAAGTGTTGATCCACTTTTGAACGTCGTCCTGATTTTATATTTTTTCCGATAATCCTTTCACATGGAGTAGGGAAACTGATTTCTGAGTGTTGTTATCCTTCTGTACCTTTCTATCCCAGTTTGTCGAAGCTTTCAGGTACCCAGGGTAGATGTTACGTTGTAGGGTACTGCTTATACTAACCATTTCTTGTCCATAAAGCCATAAGCCATAAGTAGCGACCCAGAGACATATTTCTGGGTCGCTACTTATGGCTTTTGTTCGATGTTGTAAGTAACAGACAATCCCTTTCTTTACACTGTATAGGCGGTCGGATTTGAAGTTGAGGTATTGTCCGGCGAATGTTGGTTTGCGATATACGGATGTTCGAGATTGTAGTACATCCAAGAAAAAACAGAAAAAAGCAGCCGATAAATTGACCATACGGAAGGTATGGGTTACCTAGAACTAGTAGCACTCATAATAATAAAGGTTGATTACTCGTATCCAAGTAAACCTGATTACTAGGGTGGCAAACCAATCTCTGTTGCAGACACCCACTCAGGTACATTTGTCCGACACCCGTTGTGGTTTATACTGCCACTATGTTGAGCAGACCTTAGTTTCTAGGAGAGATCGCGTTTTCTGGCGTGATCAAGTCTGAATAAGGACAGTACGCTCAAACCTTCGCTCGCAATGATTTATCAATTCATTGACGGCTCCCAAATAGTTCCGTTTCCCTAATTTTACTCACAAGGTTTGGGTTAACTGACGGTATGCTTTTAAAAATGCCACACACATGTATCTCCTCCACAGGCAGATAACATCAAGGTATATGAGTCCTAATTCCCGCTAAGTTCGTTGTGATTTCCTTCGAACCAGTAACTTAGTAAAAGTATGAATCTATATCTTCTCGTGTATGGGTTAAATAGGCAAGCGGGACTCTCTTGGTTTAGTCGGCCACCAGTCTAAGGCCAGGACAAGTCTGAATTCAAACCGGGCGTGCGACTAGTAAAACATAGTTGGTTCGGAATAGATAGCGACAATATTTGCCGTGGGAGGCTTAAACCCTATACTTACCTGGGAGTCTAAAAGTTTACTTGACTGATTAATATCATGTCAAGTCATATTCACTGCAAGAATACCTGTGGTCAATTCATATATATCAGGGCGGCCAAACCGGGACTCGCGTGCCAAATGCGGCTCTTTGACCTTTAATATGCGGCTCGTGGTAATGTGTTGGTAGGGCTGCTTTTTTTTATCAGAGTCAATATAAAAAGTGAATAAGAAAAATTACAAGATTTATAATTATTTACTGGGTATGAATTGATATCCCATTGGATTAAAACGTAAGTTTAATGTTCAGGATTAGCAAAAAATATTTCAGAATTTAAATGCTAATTTTAATGATATATCTGTGTGAGGCATTGTTATTTAGTACTGAGAGAAGAAATGGTGGGAAACAGAGGGATTAATTATATTTTCGATCAGCAGTGTTTACAGGAAAATGTCAGAAAACTGAGCTCATAGTTGAGGTGGATTAAAAATTTTAAATTTATGTCCCGGTTCTGAGACTATATAACAAAAAAACGTAAATCTTGCATCTCTCAAACATCTTAACTTTATCGTTTGTGGATCTAATATAAAGCAAGTTTGGCCACCCGTGTCATATGTATTGGTCATGCTTGTGAGTTCGAACCTTGATGCATGATTTTGAACCTAACGAAGGCTTCAATATTTTATTATTTGTTATTCGTTCTGAATATTGAAATGATAATTATTGACAGTCTTTGTCGTCCAGAGAAGGTTTTTCTGGCCTCACATCGTTCAAATCTACAAATCAACCATTCATCCTTGCATTGAATACTGTTGCCATATATGGTTTGGTGCCCCCGTTATTCATCTCGAGGTCCTAGACAAAATCCAGAGAGAGAGAGAGAGAGAGAGAGAGAGAGAGAGAGAGAGAGATCCTGACCTGGCATCTCGTCTACGGTCCCTGTTCCCACAGATCTGATGTAGCTTCCCTCTGTCTTTTCTACAAATAAATCATGGCAACTGATCTGACAAGCTATTTTCACTGGTGCTGCAACTGCATGAATTTAAGCGTGCTACTAGTTTGGCATCTCTTTCCCACCGTTTCACTGCCGATGCGTTTAAATGTAACCGCCTATTCTACCCCAAGAGCTTTTTTCTCTTACACTTACCAACAGTGGAATTCCCTTCCTCTTACTTGCTTCCCCGTCAGCTATAATCTTCAAATATTCAAATGTAATGTCAATCGACATCTTTTGATGCCTTGATCATGATCCCCTTCCTTCTCTATTTACTTTCCTCAAACAGCCCTCTTTACCTTTTATCCTGTAACACCTTGCATGCTAGTGGCACTCTCTCCTTGCTTGGCGTGAAATGCTTAAAAAGAGGTAATAGAACTTAAATGATCTCCATAAAATTGTAATTATTTAAGAGAGATTACAAAAATAGTTTTTATTATTTATAAATTATGAATTCTGATTTCCGATGAAAGTTGCTTAAATATTCAAGTCGGTTATTAACTGCTTTTTAAGATCATGAAAATTTATGGAAATTTATGCTGACAAGTGAATTATTTTAAGGAACGATCGAAGTATGTTGCGCGTATTTACTCAAAGATAGTAGAAAGAAAATCCAGACAGCATGTAGCCCGTCTTCTTTGATAGTGTCACAGTCGATATATGTATTCGAAATAAAGAATTGTGTATAGAAATTCAGCCCAAATCACCTATTTCCATATCTTAAATCACCTCAGATGTAATGCCGCTTTTTTTTATTTTATAAAAAGAAACTGATTCTGTTGCAAAGAATGTGGCAATACATTTGACTGGGTTTCCGACTGTGTTTCCGGCTGCCTTTCCAAATATCGACAATCACAAAAGACGCAGATGAAAGCCAGCAACAAAAGCCGGCTTTCGGTTTTGCGCAGGAGGGCGTGTGATGCACGGGATTCAGATTCGCCATCAAAACCGCTCTTCATTCTTCACCTCTGACACTTCTTGCGTCGAATATTTGTCAAAATAGTGATTGCCTTTTCCCTACAGCACTTTACGTTTGAAAGCTACGAGAATTTAACGATTGCTTTTTCTCTCCTTCTTTATACCATTGATTTAACACGCTTCTATCTTCCAAATAACCATTGATCATAAACCATTGATCTTTTATGGTATCAACTTTATATAGTGAAAGTTCCGGTTGGATAGGTTACAGTTTCCCTGGAATATTTTCCGAAATCTGCTTTTGCTCTAAACATATTCAGCTAAACATAGATTGATGATATATTACGTTGGCAATTTTCACTTGAATAAAAATTAGGTCTTTGCAAATATATTAGCTTTTAGTTTTCTTCAACTGACCATAATTGTACACACCATTGATGATTATTCATATGTGTCGAAACCTCGGACACGGCATTGATTATAAAATATTACATGCAGCTACAGAAGCAAAGTTTGGAGAAGATTATTAGCAATTTAGGAAATGACATATTTAATAAAAATGGAATGTCTATACTGTTCAATAAAATATGTGTAAAATAACAATTACTGCCGATTTACACTACACAAAGACACATATATATATATATATATATATATATATATATATATATATATATATATATTGTGTATCACGACGCTTGACACTACATTTGAATGATACCTCTAACCTTTTTATGCATTTAAAACAACATGCCTGGCCGCATACACAATTCCGGAAAATCTTCGTTGAAAACACAACTATACTTAAACATGAAAACAATAAACAAAAACTAAAAATTCTTGAAGCTATGTACATAAAACAGTTTGAAACCTAACCTGAACAAAATAAATTATGAAATCTTCACAAATATACTTAGATGCCTATAATTTATAACAGAAGCCATTGGTTTATATCAACGGCTTCCTATACTTAATACTTCTCGTTTTCACTCTCGCGTGGTCATGTTTGACGGAATCACCTGCTAGAGGCGGCAGGCTGTTTTATGCTAGACTCAATCGTCAGGTCACCTGACGATTGCGTCTAACATGAAACAATGTTGACTTCAATGTTCACTTTTATATATATATATATATATATATATATATATATATATATATATATATATATATATATATATATATATATATACAAATGTTAGGTAAATGTAAAAAGAAATTAACAGTCAGGTATTCCCAGAACAGTGATTACACTAGTAACTGTCTGCGATGCGATGCAACTCCTTCAAGACGGAGGCGATCATGGGACAACGCAGAGTCCTTTTCTTTATTATGTGATTGAATTTCAATCACTTCTTATGGAATACAGTTGATTGGTTCCCCTTGTTTTCTTCAGGGTTTTATTTCAACGGTTTTTTTCTTCTAGACTGGCCTCCAATCAAGGCTTTATAGCCCAATCAACATTCCTATACAATCCATAAGCTCGTCTCCCTAGAGTGTCACTTTGTGTTAGTTAAATAATTTCGATTCTCATTGGAGCCCAACATATTTTGACCTTATCCTAAGCTAATCTAAATTTAATTACTTGTTGCACTCTCACGCAATGTCTCATGCATCGATTAAGTATACAGGGTGTTCCCAGTAATGCACTCACTCTTTAAATGAAAATAAATTCAGTGTATATTGACTTGCAAACAAGATTAACGGTTAACATTAAGAAATATTAATGTTCATTGACATACAAATGAGATTAATATTTGAAATTACATATTAAATGAAATTAAATGAATGAATTTGAAGAAAAGAAAAAAAAAACATTTTTGTGCCTTATTCCCTCAGGACGTAGGCGATTATGGGTCTCCACATTTACTTGTTTTTGTATATTTTCTCGTTTTCTTATTTCTCCTAAACCCTAATCTGTCAACCATTTACTCAAGCTTGGAAAGTATTTTATGCGTTGTTTTCCTTTGTTCCTCTTGCCTACAATCTGAGCTTTGAAGTAAAAGAGTGAGTCCATCTTTTGGTGTCACCGTATATTGCAGTTTGAATCAGTTTCATGCTTAAATACTTAAATCTGTATTTGTTTTTTCAGTGACTTTCTTTTAGAAAAATTCTATTCTTACCAAAAAGACGATCCGTTAATAAACATGATTATTTTGAATAAATTTCATGAGTTTTTCTTTTTGTGTACGGAATTGCTATATATTGGCAGTTGTTTGCTTGTATCAATAGAGAAATGATCTAATTATCTTAATGATTAGATTTCTACAATTTCAATTCGTTGGATCACTTATTTATCGTTAGAGACATTCTCACATTCCAATCACAAGACTGCAAGAAAGTGACTGGTGTAAGGACAAATAATTGAGAAAACTTGCTTGATCAATTGGTTCGATTTTATACAGCTTATCAACTTTTGAAGATTATTAAAAGTAGGAAAATATTTTTAGATTGTATGAAATTATTTTAGATAATAATGTTTTAGAGATATAAATTATAAGAGATGGGTTCATGTCTTTCCCAGGGATATTTGCGCATAATTAAATATAAGGAACCCAATTGAAATTGAAATTCGGCTCTCCGATTAAAACTTCCGAGCCATTATAAATTACGCGGCTTACAGTACTTACTTTTCCAAAGTGATCACCTAAGTAGGTACTGACCAGGTCCAATGTTATTTAACTTCGGTGATCACCTAAGTAGGTACTGACCAGGTCCAATGTTATTTAACTTCGGTGATCGTACAGGAATCTGTGCTTGAACGTTATATATCTGTAAGCCAATCGTGAAAACAAATTTAATGAAATGTCCACTTATTTCTAATGGACAGAAGACAATGGCAAAGCGCCTCTGAGCAGTGGCAAGTTTTAGCAAAGCAAGTTTGATTGATTATTACTAATGGGCAGAGAATTCGATTCACAATATAGTGTATTCGATCCCAAACAAATTTAAGTTTTAAAATATCGATTTTAAAATATCGCAAAATGGAACAATCTAAACAAAATAATCTTGAGTTAATTTTTAATACGAAATAAAGAGAAACATCGGAGTATAAAAGAAGCCCCAAATCTCCCGTCCGTCAAATGGCAAAAAATAACAAAATGGCGTCTTAGTAGAGTGCGCCTTCTCTTAACCCTAATCGAAATACTAATCTTTTTAGATCATTTGATTTTGAAATCAGTCCCATGCTCACGTGGGGTTTCTCTCTTTTTACGACGTATCTGACTATGCTAAACTTAGCATATCAAAATCATGGATGCTGATATTAGAGGTAGACGATATTTTATTTTTGAAAGACTGGCGCAATATATTATTACAACTACCATTATATTTAGATGAGCTTATGACATAATGAGTTAATTTAGCAAATATCAAAATATAACTGTTTATCCGTCCTAGGTATGACGATAAACTACGTCCACGTCCTGGGGAATACGATAAACTACGTCCAACAGAAGGCCTCTGATCAGGAGATTCTGAAGAACGTGGAACCACCTCTTAATTGCTGGTGTTTCCAGGTCTATTCTGACCCTGGGTGGCAGCACCTGTTAGGGTCCCAGCTATGGGCAAATAGTTAACTACCAAACTGGGGTCAAAACACTATGAAAGTGTAAAAATAGCTTTTAATACCAGAAATGCTTTGTACAAAAATATGTCTAGTAATATATTTAAAAAAAAATTACCAGCTATACATTTTTGAAGAAAAAAATATTACCAGAAATACATTTTTGAAAAAAAAAAAGTTATTAACAGCAATAAAAATTTTGTTGTCATTATATAACACATTGAAGTTGATATGCCATAAAGCAAACCAAATCAAACCAAATAACTCTGTTTATATGTCAAATGATAATCATTCCTTATTTTTCCAATAATCCTCCAGAAATAAGCATTATATTCAACTTGAACTTTTTAAAAATAATTTCGATTCACACGACATATACATCGTACTCATTTTAACTGAAGTCTTCAGACTTGTGTGTCTATCAAGTATAGTATTGGATGAACTTTAATAT